GGTTTTTTTTTTTTTTTTTTTTTTTAGGCTTTTGCCATAGGGAGTATGTGGCATCCTCCTCTTGGGATTTGGGGCACATACATACATGAGCTTTGTGTGGTTTTTAACTCACTAGTTCCAGGACTCGAACTGAGGTCGGCCATGTGGAAATCCAGGGCCTTAATCACCATGTCACTTGCTGGTCCTGCTTGTAACTCTTATAATAGCAGTAGCTGCTACTTGTCGGCATTCACCATGAACTAACCTAGTTCTATACATTTTTTACACATGATTCCCCTTAATCTGTTCATACCTTGAGACTTAATTATTACCCCATTTAGAGGTGAGTAAACTAAGGTTTATGGACCTTATATCTTATGTAACCGCCCAAGATCCCAAAGCCAGTAAGAGGAGGCAGAAAGGGGCTTTAAGGTCAAGGCCCAAAACTTTAACCACCAAACCTGCTGCTCTAGCTGTGAGTCTCCCATGGAGGTTGGTTTGAGTAACTCCACCCTCCTGGCACCAAGAAATCTCCAGCCCAAATGGATTCATGAGCATTTCGTGTTAGTGACAGAGTGAAGGCTCACAACGGTCCTTTCAGGTTTGGAGCGAGTGGGGTTTGTTACATTGCTGTCCCTTTCCCGACCCGTGCTCCTTGCAAGGTAGTGCAGCCATTGGTCAGGAGGAAGGTCTGGCTTAACCTGCCAAGCGTAAGGCACGTAGGGACTGCACAGGCATCCCGCAGACCCACCGATAGGCCGGTGGCTTGGTGAGGGCTTGCCACAGGAGGTTTCCCATTTAAAACTTCCTGAATATGGGTAGCTCCACAGGTCTGGACTCCTTAGCAGGGCAGGTTCAGTGAAACACAGATTGCCAGGGGCAAGCAAGGCACTGAGGAAGCAAAATTCCTGCCTGGAAACCTCTATGCCAGTCACCTCCCCAATTTCCAGGTGTGAGTGTCCAGGTTATATAAAAATAATCTTGCTATGATGACAGTTTCTATACTCGGAAATGGAAGCAGGGCTCCCAACCTCACCCTAGCTTCTTCCTAAGACTGGGGGCCGCCAATGTCCTTCTATGGAAGCAGTGGGCCTGCGTCTCTGAGAAAAAGGTGGAAGATGCAGAGGAACTGGAAGATCTCCCATTCTCCCCTTAGAGGCCAGCAGGAAGGCAGGGGGCTCCTGTAGTACATGAGACCAACACATTTCTAGGGGACAGCGAGAGGCAGAGAGACCAACGCATTTCTAGGGGACAGTGAGAGGCAGAGAGTGTTTTTATTTGAACCATCTTCAGGCGATGGTCCCTTTTGTCATTCCCAGAGCATGTCCCATGAACTGTGATTTTCACAGCTCTCTGTAACATTCCCCTGCCTGGAATGCTCTCTCCCCACTCCCCTTTCTCCCAGCACAGCTCAGTTACCCTCAGGTATTTCTGACCACAGCAAGCGCAGAGGAATCCCTCTGAAAGTCTGCAGCACTAACTGCATTATTCATTCGGTGCAAGTACATGTTACTGTCTGCGTGTCGGTTACTATTCGAGTCAGAGCTCTCCGGGTAGACAGCAGATTCCCTAAGGGCAGGGAGCCTGTCTCAGTTCCCTTTTTGTCCCAGGGTTCAGGATGGGGACCAGGGCACAGAGGTGCTGGACCCATGCTTATGAATGGGAATAACAATGTTGCTGTTACCTTGATATTAATTAGGAAATTAACGAAATACTAACCTGTAATGACAGCCGCAGCTTTTCAAAATTTTCTTCCAATTCTTTCTTTTCAAGTTCATGGGTAGACATCAGTTCTGGAAAGGAGACATTGCATTGTTAAGTTAGTCTTTCTTGTGAAAAGGATAAAACAAGCCTCTCTGGGCAGGCTAAGGCCAGTGACTTCAGGTATATAAATGATTCTGCACGGCAGACAGCCTAAGACGCCTTCACTGGCTGAAGGTTGGATACGAGGGCCAGGTGGTTATTTCAAGGAAAGAAAGAAAGCAAGCAAGGGGAGGGAGAGAGGAAAGAGGAGAGAAAAGACAGAGGGAGGCAAAGAGAGCACAGACGAACACACATGCGCATACACACCACACTCACACATGTATCGCCTACATGCATGCTACATAGTACATACACTACACACACAATAAACATATCCCCCCACACCACACCACACTCACACATATACCACCTACACACATGCCACACACCACATGCACTACACATGCAATAAACACATACCCTTCACACACACCACACTCACTCATATACCACCTACACACATGCCACACACCACATGCACTACACATGCAATAAACACATACCCTTCACACACACCACACTCACTCATATACCACCTACACACATGCCACACACCACATGCACTACACATGCAATAAACACATACCCTTCACACACACCACACTCACTCACATACCACCTACACACATGTCACACACCACACACACTACACATACAATGAACACATACCACACACATATATACCACACACGTATACCACGTGTGCATACACCACACACCACATGCCGCACACATACATGCATATATACCACACAGCACATGCCACACATATATATGCATACGCCACACACCACATGCCACATATATAGATGCATAAACCACACACCACATGCCATATACCATATACACTACACATACACTAAAGACACACTACACACATACCACATATGCATACACCACATACATATACACATATGCCACACACCACATACCACATATATTACTCATACACACACTAAGCATATCCCACACATATATACCACATACATCTCACACACCACATGCCACACAAATATACACATACACCATACACCACACACCACACGTCACACACCCTATACACTACATATACAAAACACATATCGCACACATATATATCACACACATACACCACATATGCATATACCACATGCCACATAGACTTCACATACATACACCAAACATATCCCACACATATATACCACATACTCATACACCACACACCACATGCCACACGCATATACACTACACACATACACATAATAAATACATACCACACACACTACACACACACCACATATGCATACACCACACACCACATGCCACACACATATATGCACACAGCACACATCACATGCCACACACCATACGTACTACACACATACAAAACACACCACACACACATACCACATGCCCATACACCACACACACGTCACCCATATAAACTATATAAACATACACTAAACAGACATACCATACATATGCATACACAGCATTCACACATATACTGCATATATATACACACACACACATACACACACATGCATACAAACCACACACACAACAAACATGCATGCCATATATGCCTCACACATATACCACATATTCACTTGCCACACACACATATGCATGCCACGCAAACATGTAACTACCCATATTACACAAACGATGCACACACATATACACATACCACTATACACATATATGCATGCCACACAACATATCACCAATACCACACAAACCATGCACACACATATACACATACATACAAATCATACACACATACCATATTCTTGCACAAAAAACATACATACAAATACACACACACAAACCCCACACACATACGTGCACGTCTACACCCTGCTGTATCACCATCCTGGTCGACTCGGCCCCTTCATTCACAGCACTCACTCGTTCTCTAGCTTTTCCTAAGGTAAAAACAACTGGGCAATTAATGTTAAGTCTCATCTTTCTCCCCTCCCAGGGTCACTCTCCCCTTCCACACTGAAGCAGCAACCTGGAGCTGAGGAAAGGCACCATTATAGGTGACAGAGATGCAAGAAGCCTCCTGCCACCTGGGCTTGCTAGAGAACGGACAGGGAGGATGGGGCCGGCACTGCATCGACAAGGTCATCTTGGTGGCCTCTGAGCCGTATTCTGAGGTTCCAAGGATTCGCTTGAGCAGAGATTCAGTGTTAAGACACTTAGACAGTAGGAAGGATTAATTGGATTGATTCCTCTTGGAGGGTTCGGAACAATTCCATCCCATGAAAAGTGTCATCCAGCAATAATTTGCAAGTTAGGCAGAAAGAGATGTCATCTAAGAGTTATTAAGCAAATGGATTCTATTTTCCTCCAGATGGGAAGAGCCTTATTAGCTGAGTGAAGCCCAGGCCATTCTGGCTACACAAGCAATTTGTTTTCATGTTATAACTAGAGGGAGGAAAGGTCTCATTAATCAGCCTGGATCATATGCTTAGAACAGGAGAATACTCGAGACCAACAATTACCATCCTAGCTGGCATGAGTTGCAATTAGGAAAAACTCTGCGGTTTCTATTGACCTGAATCTTTTAACTAATGGTGGTGAGGGTTGCTAAGAAATCCAGTTGTTATAGCTAAAATTTACACGCTGGGAGGGCAAAGCTTGTGCCGATTTCACTGACATAAAACCATTTGGCCTTCCGACACCCCTGCCTCTGGCTGAGGGATTAGTTCAACAGTCATCGGAGCATCATCCCAACCATAGTAATGAATTTGTTAGCTACTATTCCATCCACCCACATAGCCTTGACATCATTTGTAGTCAAAGAGCTTGGCTAGTGGTGTCTAAAGGAGACTTCATTAGTCAGAAAAATTTACCTAATGTATTTATACGAAACTCCAGAGACAAAAAGTCACACCAAGGCTCATTGCTCCATTTCCATTCGTGTTCGCTGTTTTCAGACCTGTTCCTACAGTGCCAGGACAGACTTCAGCATGTTTCCGGATGACCTCAATACCCCAGGGAAAG